CAACAAAGTGAGACTCTGTCTCAAAAAAAAAAATAAATAAAAAATAAAAGGAAGGAGTAAATATCAAGCAAGTGCCCTAATGAAGTTTATGGTAGGGGATCTGGCTGAAAAGGTGAGATGAGGCTGGCATAGGTGGCTTAGTGGGGGTCCATGCTCCCTAGAGGCAGGGTGAGTCTGTGGCTCCCTGGGCTTGGTCAGCATGCTGTTCTTGATTCATACTATGCATGGGAGTAAGTGAAAATTTTAATCTGGATCCAGAAGTAGGAGGAAGATTTGGAGTATTAAACATGAAGGCCAGATAGATTTGAGGTTTGGGAACTGAAGAATTTGGGGCACTGGGCTAAAGGCAGAAGAGGAAGATTAAGTTCCCTTCATGGGAGCAGAGTCTGATAATAGGAATTTTGAAAATTTGAGAGATGAATGATTTTGCTAACCTGCTGAGTGGGTGGAGCAACCAGGCAGAGGCCTGGTGAGGACAGAGTTCTGGTCATTAGGGACTGTGTGGACCCAGTAGGGAAGCCTTTGTCCCCTTCTCTGTGCTCCCTGCACCCTCTTCTTACCTAGCTGTTCCCTCCCCTCCTCTCCCCCTCAGTTTTGCTCTCTCTCTCCTTTGCTGGGGCTATCTTTTTCATAAACGGCCATATCAGTTCTATCATAGTTACATATGAAACCCACAATTTCTTATACTCATTGAACATCTAAATTAAAATTCGTGAGTTGAATCTTCTGTATTTCTCTCTAAAGAGTTAAGTCCCTAGTGAAATTTTCTTCTTAATTGTCTATGACCTTCAAATTATTTTCCTGTTAGTGTACAGTCCTAAAAAAGAAGGAAAAATCAGAACACTCTCTATTCCTAAAAACAAAAGTTATCCTTCCACTTTCATCAAAGCCTGGTATCTGGAGATTGGCTACTCACCAAAGAGCTTACATTTGTGCATGCATGCTCATGCCTGTCTAATTAGAGACTGTGCGAAGATCAATCATGTTATCTTGTGGCTTTAGAGACAATTCTTTCTACGCTAGCCTTTTTTTTTTTTTTAACATAAAAGCCATACCCTTGGAGAACTCAGTAATAGCAGTACCCTTAAAATAGGAAAATGAAAATGTTCCACAAGTATTTTTTATAAATATGAACAAATAAATAACATTTTAGGATGAATAATCAAAATGTAACCTCCTTTAAAGCTACTACACCTGCATATTCTTCCAAAAGGATAAAATGTGAAAACTGGGTAGAATGCGATTCCATTTCTGACCTCAGGACCCTAAGACCGTTAGAGGAGGAGCAGCCGCGGGGCATTGCCACATCTAGTATTTACAGACCCACAATGCGCACTTCCTCCAACGTTTCCAGTGTGGGAAGTCTGACCCCTGCCTTTTCACTCTTTGATAGTCTCCATTAACCCCAATCACTGTTTTGCTCATCTTTGTGACCGCACTTCAGTCCTGAAAGGGACTTTTAATTTTGCTTTTAGCCTCTTCTGATTGGGAGCATAAGGTCACTATCCAGGGGAAAAGTTGAGGATTCCAGAGAAGTTACTAATCTACCCTACAGAATATCCAAATACAATATAAAGCGCCACAACCAGAGCAAAGTGATTCACTGGGACAGAAAGACTCATTCTCTCATTCCACTTCTTTAAAGTCATATAGAAAGACTGGCATTTTCTATGCATTTCTGAAGAGAAGTCAAAGAGATCTGGGGTGTGTATGTGTCATGTGGTCGCTAGTTCAGGAAAGATCAGCATGCTGTTTAATCCAGTCGCGGGAAAATAATCTCAAGGCCGTAAGAGCTACATTTCTTTGACTGAATTCATCAAATCAATTTTTTTTTTTTTACTTCTACACACGAATATGAAGTAATTTCATTGCATGTGGTGGCTGTGTGGTGTAAATACACATATTCACTAATGTTAAGTAAAATGGTGCCCTTGTATATAGCAATTATGTACATAATTTAGATACACTCACTGATGGAAGTGTTTCCCTGAGGAATCAGGTGCGTTCATCGTCAGAGGAAGGGAAAAGACGGAAACAATCTCAGAAGCATTCGAATATTTTCTTCCTTTTCTCATCCATCCCCTAATGAGAGGTTGGGTCTAACTACCTTCAGGATCTCTTTCCAGTGTTTTCAGCAACCACTTGAGAATCAGCTAGATGCTAAGTTTAGCTTTGCCACCGCAGAAGAAAACATCGTAGTGAGCGACGGGCTGCGAAGAAGAGTACTTGGAAGGAACCACCGGACTCCGGGGAGGGGGTGGTGGGAATGGTCACTCTTACACTCAGCAAATAATTTGACAAGAACATTAAAATTCTCACAGCGAATGACCTGTGTTTCTAGCTCCGGTGGGTTCTGGATTCGCGACCCCAAAGCCTTCTTCCTCCCTCCTCAGCCCCTCCCACGCAGAAGACGGCTCGCGCCCCCCTCAGTGGCGCGCGTCTGTTCCCCGCAAATCCGCGTAGTAGAGCCGGCCGCTCCGGGCGCGGCGCGCTCGCTTCCTCGGGGCTGGGTAGCCGGCCTCGCCCGCCCCGCCCGGGACCCACAAGTTGAAGCGACAGTTTCCCAAGCGGGATGCGGGGACGCTGGCCTCGGCGCCCGAAGACTTTCTAGCGGCGCATTAGCGGGGTGCGCGGCGCGCGCCCGCCCTCCCGGCCCGGGGCAGGTGAGGGGTCCCGTCCGCGCAGGCCGGCTGCGCGTCTGCTCTGTCACCCTCGCCTCCCTCCCCGCCCCCGCGTGCGTCTTTGCGCCAAGTGTGGCCGCTCCTGCCACCCAACTGTCCCGAGTTGCGGGCGCCTCGGCAGGGGCCGCCCTCGCCCCCAGCCCTCCGCGCGGGGCGGGCGCCTCGGAGCAGCCCTGCAGCCCCCGCCTCCTCCGGTTCACCCGGAATCCGGGGTCAAACCCGCAGGCGGCCGGGCCCAGGTGGGCGCCTTCACTCCCACGCCGAGGTGCCCGCAGCGAGGGGCGCAAGGGTCGGGACGGGCCCCCGGGGCGCGGCGGAGGCCGCCGGAGTCCCCAGAAAGCCCGCCCGAGGGCGCAGCCGGCCACGCCGTGGGACGGGGCGGGGGCGGAGCAGAGCCTCCCGCCGCCTCCTCACCGTCGCCTCCTCCTCCTCCTCCTCCTCCTCGTCGTCCTCCTCTCGCAGCCACCGCCTCCGCCGGGCTGAGGAGCGCGGAGTCCGCGGCGCCGGCTCGGGGCTGCGGGATGGGGAGTTAGCGCCACGGCGGCGGCAGTAGCCGCGGCGCAACCGGCCGTCGCCCCCGGGCCCGTCCCGCCTGGGGCGCCGGGCGCGGCCAGCCCGCCCCGGAGCCGGGCCAGCGGGCGGCGGCGGCGGCGGAGCTGGGCAGGTGGATGCGGCTGGAAGATGGCGCCCTCGGGCCCGGGCAGCGTCAGGCGGCGGTGCCGGCGGGTGCTGTACTGGATCCCGGTGGTGTTCATCAGCCTCCTGCTGGGCTGGTCCTACTACGCCTACGCCATCCAGCTGTGCATAGGTGAGTGCGCGGCCCCGCGCTCGGGCCCGTCCCCCGGCGCCCGCAGGGAGGGCGCCGTCCTGTCGCCCGCCCCCCGTGCAGCCCACCCGGACCGTCCCGGGACGCGGGAGCCGGGCGCGCGCACTCGCGCTTCCACGCTCCCCACCCCGGAGGCTGCTCTGCGCCCCGGGCGCTGCCAACTGGCCGCGGCTCCGCTGGCACCGCGGCCGAAAACAGCCTCCGGGCAGCCTTCTGCCACTCGCACTACCCTGGCCTTCCCCTCGCAACTCTCAGGTCACGGCGTCACCTCCGCCCCACCGCACGCAGCCCCCTGCCTTCCGCTGGCCGCCGCCACCCCGGCAACTCCCGCCCGGGTCTGGACAACTGCGGTCCCCGCTGCCCGCAGCCTCCTTGGAGAGGTGAGGCTGGGGAGGCTACGCTGGAGGCTGGAGGGCTCCAAGCCGGACCCGGGGTACAAGCTGCCCCAGACCACGCCGGGGTACTGGCCTTGGGCGGCAGAGCCCGATCCCTTTCTGGTTGTCATTAATCTACTTTTTAAAAATTGGGAACAGCGCTCAGGGGCGTTTTTGCTGCCTGTATGATTTGAGGATTGCCAGTTGGACACTTTCTAGTTAAAAAGGGGTGCGGGGGGTGAACTGCTAGAAAGTATTTTCGAAGACATACGCAACACGCAAGACCATCATTTAAACGTTAGAATAATAGGGAGAAAAAGAAAGAGGTGATCATCCGTGGTTTTTACACCCAGAGAGCCAAGTGGCTCAAGTCCAAGTTGTAGGCTGCTGAACTGGTGGGTAGGGTACTTTCAGCGCTGAAGATTAGGGGGGAAAAGTTGACTGCGCACAAGTAGGGAATACCATTATGTTGCTTAATGTAAGGCGGCTTCTACTTTCAAAGGTCTGTGAAAACTGATATGGGTTATCAGAAAAAATGTTAAAACGGAGGGTGACCTTTCTGCCAGTGACTTGTGAATGCTTTCTGTGTTTGGTGTTCCACCTACCGAGCACTAGCCTTGGGGTGGGACGAGGAAAAAAGATTAAATAGTGGCCTATTTAATTTAACCTTCACTTTGTAAGCATTTTCAAAGCTTCAAAATTCAGACATAGAATCTTGTCTGAAGCCATCTAACCTCAAAATGTTACCCCTGGTGAGAAATAGTATCAGGATAATACACCAAAATAATTAACAACATAACTTTTAAGAGAATTGAGACTAACTTCCCATTGTATATGGTTTTGGTAGTTTTAAAATTTGCTGTTAATACTTTCTTTACTGGAGTTAGAAACAATATTTATAGTCCAAGAAAACCAGTCTTTTTTTTTTTTTTTTTTTAAATGGATTGGGCTGTACTGATATCTTCATGTCAGTGCATCTAGATATGTGACATTCAGGTCATCTAAAATGTATAGGAAGAAACATGTTGCAATTTTTGTATTAAGTGTTAATATTAAAATAACCTGCCTTATTGAGTTATACTGTATATGTTACATAACTGTTAGGAACCTTTGTTGTATCTCGTTCTTTCACCCTCTTAACAACAGTGACTAATATCAATTAATGTAACTGGTGCCAAGGAGGGAAGTCCGAGAAGGCCTTCATTATCATAATAGGCAGCTTATTCTCCTATATTATCACATTAAGCTAAGAAGCTTAGCCTGGTACAGTATCTCATGTCTGTCAGGAGGAAACATCTGAAGGCAGAGAGCGCTTTTCTTTCCTTTGCAAGAACCTCTCTGCACCTAGCTGAAGTGCTACATGGGAGGTCTTCCTGTATTGGGTAGACAGGTGATGGGGAAGGAACTAAATGGAAGATTGTTCTTATATTTGGGTCATATTTTTATACGTACTTTCTATAAGTTTAAGACAGATCTCAAGTACCCATAAAATCCACGTCACTATTTTATTAAGTGACAGTTTGACTAAGTGGGAGAATGCCTCTTCTTCAGTTGCCTCAGTGACGTGGCCTGTTATTGATACTTTACCTGGTGATCATAAATGAGGTCTCCAATCACTTCTTGTCACTGCCTACTTGGCCTGGCACAATGCCTGCCACATTGAAAACAATCTATAAACGGTCTTGAATAAACAAATAAATGATTCAGAGGCAGTATCTCCTAGGTTGTCAGAAAGTAGTTTTTGTATTTTTGTTGCCGTAGAAACAAAAAGTAATTGTTATGAAAGGTCTAGATCCTGAAGTCTAGAAGGCAGAACAAATTGAGGACGAATGTGATTCTAGACACTATGGCAGTTTAGGAGTGGTAGGCTCCAAAAGCCTCACATGGCGGTGGTTGGGTGGGAAGTTGAAAGTAACTGTGCAGTTTCTTTATAGGCACTGGCAAAGATGGCGACTAGAGTGACTGACACACAAAACCAGCCTCCGCTCCTTTTCACAGACAAAGCAAATGGGAATGCCAACCCCCACCCCACCCCCAGTATTCATCACATCTCAGACTGCCCTGCCTTTCGTGGATTCTTTTTCTGTTGGAAGTTGCTGTTTACAAGCAGATTTTCCAAATTTCACCCATCGAACATTGGCCAAGGTTGGGACCCGAGGGTAGGGGTCAGGGACTAGGAACTAGAGCAGGTAACAAACAGAATAGAACAAACAGGATGATTTGCCCTGGTCCTCCTTCCACATCTGCCATCAGCCAGAGATGACCCTGAATATAAATTACTCTCTGCCCTTTGCTGAATGAACTGCAATTTAGGAGTAGTGCTTATTCTGGTATCCTTGGAAACTGGAGATAATGATTCTCATTACAGTTACTTTCTATATTTAACCATGTGGATGTATGTGGCTCTCCAGGCACTTTTTCAGTTAGCATAATTTTTGCCTAGTGTTTGTATTTTATAAAAATAACTCATATCTCTTTTTGGAGTATGTGTACATATAAAATATATGAGATGTGCATATGTTGTATGAGAGTCAAGTGTTTCGGTTAAGTCTGCTTTCCTATTCTCCCAAAGACAAGATCACAAAGGACTGTTACACTTGTAATCATTTGGAACATGTTTATCTAGTTTGTCGATTAACTAGGCTCTTTTATTCCTATTTCTCCCCCTCCATCCCTTCCTTTTCCTCATCACTCCTCTTTCCTCTTCCTCCTGCTCTTCTCTCCACCTCTGGCTTCTTTTGTATCTTACCGATCTGTGATCCCTTTAGTTATTAGCTAGCTTGTTTTATGTAAAGTAAGGCAAATTCAAAGGGTAAAATTGGTAAGGTGGCACTTCAGGATGCAGAATTAGAGGGAGTAGGGGTGGTCTGCCATCCCTGGCATGTTTGAGTTTACAGATCTGTTATGGCTATTATCACGTTAACTTTGCTTGATGAGGAAGGTAACTGAAGTTTTCCCTTTTAAGTGCTAACATTTAAAATCGTTTTAACTATTTTTATCCTATTTTTGTCATAATTTCACATTTACTGAAAAGTTTCAAGAATTGTACAAGAAACTTCCACATACCCTTGTTTAACCATTTTGGCTTCCATTTTTCTGAAATGTATCACTTCCCTGTTCTCATCTTAGGCAGGTGCTCGTAGATGTTTAGCTTGTGCACTCAGATGGTTGTGAGTTTACTTAGGGTTTTGCTTAAGTCATTTTAAATAATCATGGAGATTAAAAAGCTTAGTGATCATCTAGGTCAACCCCCTCTTGCATTTGTAGACGAAAGAGTTAAATGTTCAAGAGTTGCTACAAGTTCTGTGTCCTTTCTCCAAGTTACCTAGTGGAGGTGTCAACGATGACTTTAGCTGCTGTGGTGCAGATGACGAAACGGCTCCCTTTCCCACCAAACCCTTCACCAAATCTTCCTAGCCCAATGAAGTTGTTTAGCAAGTCTTTTAAACTTTGTTGCTGTTTAATAAGAGTTAGAGCTCTGAAAGTCAACAGTCTTTACACAGTGATTTCAGAGTTTTTGAAGACTTTATAATTTGGGCCAGATAGTATATATTTTCGGCTTTGTAGGCCATGTGGTCTCTGTTCCAGCTACTCGAATCTGCTATTGTAGACAGCAGCCATAGAAAATACTTTAACAAATGGGCGTGGCTGTGTTCCAATAAAACTTTAACAAAAATAGTTGGCAGGCCAGACTTGGCTCTTGGGCAGTAGTTTGCTGACCTTCTGAGTATATTAGAAGTTAGACCATTAGAATATTGAGGTTTTACTCACAGTTTTGCATTCTTTATTAATAATCATCCCTCGGCAATAATTGCAACTTATATTCCACAGTGATTATTGAAGATGTTTAAGAATTAAAAGAATTTGTCCATACACCTAGGGGTCAGTTTGAAAGATATGCAGCCAAGTTTTCCTTGTTTTAAACAAACAAACATCCTTAAGAATAAAATATGTAAAACCTCTTACTTGGATTTTGTCAAATTATGATCTACCGTTAATTCAAGGCCACTTGCAAGCTCAAGAATGGAAACTGGTGGGCCTCTAAATTGCCTTCCATGATGAAATGAATTTGAGTTACATAGAAAAAGAAATATATTCCTGTTATTGGTAAATTATCACTTAAAAACTCTGTAGGACATTAAAGCATTTTTTAAAAAAGGACAGATGATCTTGGGAATATAGATGTTGCTATCTGTAAGTATCAAAATAGTTTAAAATGGAATATAAGGCACATCCGTAGAAAACGGATGCATACAAAACTTTTAATGTTTAAATTTCCGCTTTAGAAATTATTTCTTGTTGACAATAATGATGTAAAATATATTCTGTGACTTTTCTTGATATTATCAAATATTTTGAAGATTTCAAATTATGTACATAGAAAGATAAAAACTCAACGTTTCTTCAAATCCAAAATTCAGATGTGTAAAATACATTTGATATATCCCAAACTCTTGATCTGTGCAGCCATTTGACTTTAATATAAATGGTCCAGGCCTGGGGAGGCACTCGTGGGGAGAGTAGAAGAAAAGACTCTGCTTAATGCTTTCTTGGTTCCGTTTAGTGTGTCAGAGAATTCTTTTTCTTTTGATATACAATGCAGCATTACCGTTTGCTATTAAACCCTATTAGAGATCACATTTGTAAAGCAATTAGCACAGTCTCAGCGTGTAGAGATACTCAGTAAGTGTTGAATGAATTAATCGCGTGATTTTTACTTAGTCTTATTCAACCCATTTTTGGTATGAGATCATCCAACTGTATAATGCAAATAAGTGAGAGGATAGGATCTAGAAGTCAGAGCTCAATTTAAACTATGGTTTGTTGTAGAAGACTTTGCTTTCAAATGCTCACTGAGAATGTCATCTATACCATTACATTAAATACTTGCACGAATGTTTCCAGTAATTAAACAGAAGCCAAAGGGATGGTTTCTTAAATTAAGATGATTAATTGTTTCTAGAAAAGGTGTGTTTCCACAAGGTTAGAAAGAGGTCAGCTTATAAGTAGTTTGAGTAGGGTTCATTCAAAAGCATTTATTGAATCCTTGTTATATGCCAGGCATTTTCCCCCACAGAAATGATTTAGAGAACAACTTAATAGACATCTTCTCCTAATAGCCAAGAAAAAAAAATTGCCTCTGGGAAAAAAAACCCAAAAATCAAAGGCTTCTCATCAGCTTGGGCATGAGGAAAGGACGTGTTACCTTTCAGACTGCCCCTTCCTCAGCAGAGTGGTAGGAAAGCAGAAATGGAAAACAAAACATGCCACTCCTAGGAACCTGTGAATTGGTTGCTGGACCGATGTGAAAAGATAATTCTCAAAGCAAGTAAAAAGAGAGCTTTGGGGGAGCACTTAAGTAGCAATGAATTTCAAATCCCGTTAGAAATCTTACCACATACAAATATCTCAGGGTGGGATTATGACCAGCAATGCTCGCCCCCACTATGAACCAGGTGGTGGTTTCAGCTCTCCCCCTTCTTACCCAGTGCATGGGCCACTTTGTCTCTGCTCCCAGCTCAGGGCCTGTGACCTGGTGGGTGAAACTGGGCAGGGAACTTCGTGAAGGAAACACTGAATCCACGGGATGACTGGAGAACCTCGTTTAGAAAATGGACAGCAACCAAAAGAAGGTGGAGGAAATGGAGCTGACGTTCCTCTCAAGGAAAGGCCTTTGGAATGGGCTGCAGGCCAGGTCATCACAGAGCACTGGGGCCACCACTGCTGCCTACACCTGTGTAATAGCGGGTCCAGCATCACGGGCCTGGGCAGAGCATCCAGCTGTCTGAGTGGAGACGGTTGCACCCAAACCCCAGGCAGAAGGGTTCAGCAAGCACAGGTAGTTGATCTTTTTTGGCTTCTGTGGTGAGAAATGCCAGGAAAACAAATGAACAAAAAGAGAGACATATATTCCAGAGATTTAATACATATGGGGCTGAGGAGTTCTCAATGAGGTGGTCCTCATTGATTTTTGTTTGTTTGTTTCATTTGCTTTTATTTTTCATCTTGGTGGAAAATTTGTGATTTTCCTTCTCAGAAAAATAGAACCATACTTTAATAATTTATACTGCTGATTTCATGTATTTTGACAGTTGTATCACATCTCCCAGCCTTCTCTTCTCTAGGAAGTAGTGGATTCATGGGTCCCCTGAGATTCCAGCACTCTGTAATGACTGTAGGAATACTACCTTGTCTATCATGCAAAGTGACAGATTAGAACATGGCATAGATTCTTACTGCTGTCTGTTGGAAAAACAATGTTCCAAAGATCATCAGACAGTTCTAATATTATGTGGAATTCTATTATTACGTATTAACATTTAAAAATACCACAGAGAATTAATAATCAAAGCCTGACATAATGGAATGAAGGTTTTAATAGTCCAGTTGCTGAAATTTTTTTTTGTAATTCCTTTAAGGGAATTTTATTATAATATCTTGATCTTTTTCTTAATCAAATACTGAGAGTGGAAAGAGTGAAATTACCAGGGCCAGGGGGTCAGGGTAGGGGTAGGGGACAGTGGGGAGAAGGTAGCTGCCATGATTTCTTAAGAAGCATATGATAGCCATGAAGAAACCAGCTGTGATTGCTTGAAAATTTTCCTTTCAGAATTATAACATCACATTTTATAACATTTATGTAGCATTCTTCCTAATTTGATGTTTCATCTGACTATGATGTTTTAAATTCAGTGATAAAGGTTAGTGCCTGAAGTGTTACAAAAATCCATTTTTATTTGGGAGACACTCTTGAGCAAAATATATGCTGCATTTATTGTGTTAGCACTTCACTCTAGAAATGCATACTTGATGGTAGTTCATTTTAGGTATGCTGTTGATTCCATTTAAAAAATGCAAATGAAGAAGTGCTTTATAGGTGGCTGGCTTTTATTTCTCTGCCAGTGCTTCTCCATGGTATCCTGAAATTTCCCCTCATGTGAAGTGTCCCATTAAGCATTCCTGCCATACTGAAATTAATCTGACCTCTGGATTTATTCACTGCCATTGGCACCCCAGAGGAGCAGAATGGTCCAGAGGAGTATAATCAACAAAATACACACGAAACAATAAAAAAAAAAACCTTTTTCTCTAAGTCTTTTAAAACCAAATACACAGAGTAAAATAGTTTCAAGGTAGTTGTCTATCTGCATGATCGTCTTTTTTTTTTTTTTTTTTTTTTAACTTTTACTTTTATAGTGATGGGGTCTCAGCAGGCTGGTCTCAAACTCCTGGGCTTAAGTGATCCTCCTGCCTCAGCCTCCTGAGTAGCTGGGATTATAGGCGTGAGCCACTGTGCCTGGCTCTCATGATCATCTGAGAAAAGATATAATCCTTTTAAAAAGAAGTTCATGTGTTTCCAAGAACTTTATTAATTTATTTGATTATAATTCAGTGAAATTTGGAAAACCAAAATGCCTTGCCATAAGTATCTATTTTCTTGTGTACAGGTAAAATTAAATTTTTCTCTGTGTTCATTGCATTATGTAAAAGGATTTTCATCATATTTGAAGGGTATATTGGAGTGGGGTGACTTAAAATCCAGACGGGTGTCCCTGGTCCCTTTGGGGGTCCATGGGTCATCTCAAAGAGGTCAGCAGCTGAATCTGAAATGTGGCTTTTCACCAGATTTGTACAGATGTGAGGGATGGTGTGATTTCAGATAGTTTCTGTAATGTACACATAATTCACACCAGAAAGACTTTAGCGGGAAAGGCAGCCCTGCTCCAGAACAGCTGAGCTTGAGCTATAATGAGAGACACCTGATGCCATTTACGGACAAAGAAAAAGATTTCAATTATGAGTCTCACACTGGAAGTCATAAACCTACTCCAAATTGCAGGGCCTACTTTGTGATCAGGTTTACCACTAAGTGGGCAAATCCATGTGACATGTTTTAGGAAGAAAGGCAGTCAGGGATTTATGTACTTAACTAGGAAGTGATTATCCGTGCATCTCTAGTCAGGGCAGTTAGTGCAAAAAGATATAGGGCAGAGACCAGTTTGACTTACTCAGGGTGTTAACTATAGAATATTTTTAATGAAATTCAACTTATTCCAGGACTAGTACATACTGAGAACTAAAATATGCAGAACTGAGAGCTATAGGTCAGCGAGAGAAGGGTAGTGATTCACTATAGGTTTCCATAAACTTGCCTTTTAACAGATAATTACAAAATCCAAAATGCATTTTAACTATCCATAATTTATTGGACACTATTAATTTATTCATTCATTCAAAAAATGTCTATTGACAGCTCTTGGAGCTTCCATTTCTAGTTGGAGGAAGGAGAACAAATAAGAAACATGAGTAAGTAAATTATATTTATTTGTTAAAGGGTCATCAGTTTCATGACAAAAAGCGAGACATAGGGCAAGAAGGACTGGGAATGCCAGAGGGAGGTTTTGCTTTTAAATATAGTGGCCAGGGGGGAATGGGGACTCATGAAATTTAAGCAGAGACCTGAAGGAGCTGAGGGATTTAATCATGCCATGTTCTGGAAAAATGCATCTCAGGCAGAGGGAATAGTCCACTTAAAAGCATTGACATGTTGGGAGGCAGAGGTAGGAGGATTGCTTGAGGCTAGGAGGCTAGGAGTTTGAAACTAGCCTGGGCAACATAGTGAGACACCATCTCTACAAAAAAACCAAAAAGTAGCCGTGGTAGCACACCCCTGTAGTCCCAGCTGCTTGGGAGGCTGAGGCAGGAGAATCACTTGAGCTCAGGAGTGTGAGGTTGCAGTGAGCTATGATGATGCCACTGCCCAGGCAACAGAGTGAGACCCTGTCTAAAACAAAACAAAACAAAACAAAACACTGAGGCAGGATACTGAGGAGCATCAAAAAGATCATTTTTGCTGAAGTGTAGCCTAGACTCCTGCATCAATCCAGGTAAGCAATGATGGTGTGTCAAACCACGATGCAGGTATTGGAAATGGTGAGAGGTGGTCGAATTCTGAGTGTATTCTTGAAGTAGTGATAACAGAATTTCCTGACAGATGTGAGTTGTGAAAGAAATAAAAGAGTCAAAAATGATTTTCATGTTTTTGGCCTGAAGAACTGGAAGGATGACCAGTTGAGATGCGGAAGGCTGTAGGGGTGGGGGTGGGGGTTGCCTTACATCAGTAACGGGTGCGTTGACACTGAAACAGAGATGCTGAGTAAGCAGTTGCATATATGAGTTTGGCATTTGGGAGACAGGTATGGAATGGAGGAATAAATTTAGGAATCTTCAGCATATAAATGGATTTAAAGACTTGACACTGGATACATTTGTTCCCACCACGTGTGAGAATGTATTAATAATTTGAACAGAGAAGAGGACCAGAGATGACCAACACTGAGAGTTCAGGGGATGAGTAGGAACCAGCAAAAAAGACCGAGAAGGAGCGCCCAGTGAAGTGGAGGGAAACTAAGGGAGTGTGTTGTCCTGAAGCCTCGGGAGGAAAAGGTATTGGGGAGGAGGGAGGGAACAACTTTGACAAAAGTACCCAAGTGTCAAGTAAGATGAGGACTGAGGATTATTAACAATGTGGACATTGAACTCTTGTTTCGAATATATTGCCAACTGTACTCTGACAACCTTGAACATAATTTAAAAGAATCAATATACCAGCGTATGAATTACTGGGCTGTCTGAATTAATTCAATTCAGATTAAAAGCCTTTACTTTCTTATTATCTGAAAATAATCTACAGAAAATTTCATGAGCAGTAACCATGTCTGGTTTATGCACCACTGTAGCCCTGGTGCCTGACACAGAGGCTAACACGTAGTAAGATTCATTATGTTTCTTGAATGAATGAATGAATGTCAGCTGGGTTTGTTTAATTTGAACCTTGTGAGTGGGATAGACATTTCAAGCATCAAAGAACATTGAATCTTTCATGAGAGGATTATCTATTTTAGCTTTTTATTATTTGATCATTCAGATATTTATAAACAAGTTCGTAATAGTTTTATGGTTTCAAATATAACCATACAATACCTTTTTTCTTTCTGGATGTTAAAATGTAATCATCTGTAATAAGAATTAAGAAAATATTAACTGTAGAACTCATTTGAAAATTTAAAAGATAAATTATCTTTATATCTATAATATAATAAATGATCCCCATATATATCTATGGTAATAATAATGAAGTAATTAAGAACAATTTGGAATGTGTAAAATATTTTCCCCAATATACTTATAAAATAATCACTTCAAAAAGTAAGTGAAATGCGTTTGCAAGAAGCACACCAACACTGCCCAGAGATACCGTAGTCCATTTTAGTAGTTTTGAGATAACTAACACCTCCCCTTAAAGTGCTGAAATTGTTACCCATTTTAGATTTAAAAAGGAGTGACTTTCTAAAGTATGTTTCAATTCCCCCTTTCCTTGCCCCAGCCTTCTTAGAGTATTCTGAACATAATTTAACTCCGATTTAAGGTTATCAAAGACAGACACATGTATCAGGCTAGGAGCCAAGACTGTCGGAGGGTTTGCATTCACAGTTTAATTTATTTCCTATTGACTGGAAAAGGTCGGAGAAGAGTGGAATTTGTCATTTTGCCTCAGCATTCTTTTGAATCTCAGGCACTGAGAGTCTGGGGAGACTCATGAATGAGCCACTTAGCAAGTGGAAATGCCTAGACAACTACATCTCAACAGAGCTTTGTTTTTCTCTACTTACCATTTCTGACGTTACTTTTTTGAAGTATTAAACAATAAAAACTTTTCAGTGTGTAAATGACCAGAGGTGAGAAAACATTAGCTAAAGTTGAATTACAGCTTAATTTGTGGTTTGAGAATAGGCTCTAGAGCAGGTGATTTATTTTTTTTTTATTGTGGTAAAATAT